TTTTCAGATTTCTTCAATAATAAGATTGCTATTATATGGAAAGAACTAGCCATCGATTCTTCCCACTGTAATCAGCGAAATCAAGAGGAACAATATGCACAATGCGTTAAATTCATTAACTTTCAAGAAGTCACGGAACGTGAGATTGAAAATGTTATTGACAAAGTTGGTAAAAAATCTTGTGAACTTGATCCAGTGCCCGCAAAAATCTTTCAAGGTTGTCGGAAGACTCTCTTACCTATAATTACTAAGATCAGTAATGAGTCACTTCAGTCAGGTTGTATGCCTGAGATACTAAAAGAAGCCGTGTTGAAACCAAAACTAAAGAAAGATTCGCTGGATTACGAAGAATACACAAATTTCCGACCTATTTTAAATTTAAAATTCCTGTCTAAAGTAATTGAGAAGGTTGCTGCCGGTCAGCTTCTGGAACACTTGGCCAATATAAAATTAGAAGAACCCTTCCAGTCGGCATATAAACATTTTCATAGTGCAGAAACAACCCTATTAAAAGTACAAAACGATATTCTTGTAGCCATTGATAATCGTAAGTGTGTGGTGTTGCTATTACTAGATATGTCAGCAGCATTCGATACTGTTGATCACGAACTTTTACTACAACGAATGTTCAAAAGATTTGGGATAGATGGGCAAGTGTTGAAATGGTTTCAGTCCTATCTTCAGAATAGAACGCAAAGTGTAGTGATTGACGGTGTTAAATCTATCTCTAAAGACTTGCGCTGTGGAGTCCCACAAGGATCAGTTCTCGGCCCTATACTATATTTACTATACACTTCACCCCTTGGTGATATCATCAGAGGTCATGATCTTGATTTTCACTTTTATGCAGACGACTCGCAATTATATCTCGCGTTTGAGTCAACCACTGAAGGAAAAGCGGGAGCACTGGTACAAATCGAAATGTGTGTAAGGGAGATTGATTTGTGGATGGTCAAAAATAAATTAAAATTGAATGGGGACAAGACTGAGTTACTAGTAATCAATGCACGAAATCGTTTATGCCCTGCTGTACACCATATAGAAATATCTAAGTCAATAGTTCAACCAAGTACTTCAGCACGAAACATCGGTGTAACCTTCGATCAACACATGTCCATGGATAAACATATTACCAACATTTGCAAGAACTGTTTTTCCATTTGAGAAAAATAGCAAGAATAAAAGAGTACTTATCAAAATCAGATATCCAAACCCTAGTTCATGCCTTTATTACATCGAAACTAGATAATTGCAACTCTTTGCTATACGGACTACCTAAATTTCTTACAGATCGATTACAGAATGTGCAAAACTGTGCTGCTCGTCTGGTGACAGGAAGCAGAAAGTACGACCATGTTACTCCATTAATGAAACAATTACATTGGCTCCCCATCAGTCAACGCATCATCTATAAAATTGTTCTTATCACATATAAATCTCTGAATGGCTCAGCTCCACATTACATTAATAATATGCTAAAACCTTACACACTATCAGCAAATTTACGCTCCTCATCCAAAGGATTGCTTACCATACCTTCAGTAAAACTAGTGAACTATGGTGAACGATCGTTCTCATATGCTGCACCGAAACTGTGGAACGAACTGCCAGAGTATATTAGAAAGAGTGAGACCTTGCCTATTTTTAAAACCAGATTAAAGACACATCTTTTTAAACAGTATTATGACTAAGTTATTATTTTAACAAGATTATTAGTAATTTTATAGTATTTTATATAGTTGTTGTTTTAATATTATCAACATACATAACATAAAGTAATTTTATATTCTTAACGAGAAGAGCATATAATTATTTTTTAGTAATTTTATAGTATAGTAATTTTAGTAGTTAATGCATGCACTATGTTCTAACACCTAGTATATATTTTTAACACTTGATGTTAAGCGCTATTGAGCTATGGGAAATGGCGCTATATAAATGAATTATAATAATAATAATAATAATAATAATATATTCTGGACAATTGTCGTTTCTCCTAGCCATTATGACTCAAATATGTCTGTCTTCCTCTTTGTTATTGGTTGTATCTTTTGTGTTTGTATTTTTGTAAACATTATTTTTTTTATATAAAAACATTTATGTAAATAAATTAAATGTGAGCCTCCTTGATAAGCCTTCGCTTTTGAGAAAAACATATTATTAATAAAGTTAATTATATAAAAAAGAGGTTACCATATTTCGGTTGTAGTATTTCGTAAAATAACAAGACTTTTACAATAAGAAACTTGCGAGTTATTTTTTTAGCAAAAAAGCCGAAAAAATACGACAAAGAAAAGTTCTTTATCGTAAACAATTTTCAAAATTAATTGGTCTTTTAAGTTACTTGCGGCGTCTTCCTCGCTCGCAAATTTCGGCAGATTTCACTTGAAATTGGAAAGAAATTATATATCGAATTTCAAATTCATATCAACAATGAAGAACGTTGAACACTCGGTTGTTTATGTATTTTTCATTTCTTAAGCTCTAGATATATTGTGTTCTCATTGCCACAGTTTCTTCAAAAATCAAAACAGCTTTGAACTTGTTTATTTTGTTTGAGCCAGCTGTTGAAATTTTGTACGTTTGACCCAAAACTGTCAAAAATCAAAAAGTTAAAATTTAAAAATAACTAAACATGATTATACGTGATTGATATGTTTGTAATATTTCGTCCAATTGCAACGAGGAATGATTACGTGTGCCGCGCTTTTATCCAGTCAGATTAAAGAAATATAGCGATAGCACACGTCAGTAAATTAGAATTTGGAAATCGGAACTATTTTTAAAAATAAAACAAGTGGCTTTTGCATTTAATCTCAGAGTAGATACTATATAGTCTCTCCTCTGTGATTTAATATTGCAAATGGCAATGATTGAATGGGAAAGAAAGTGAATCCGGAAGCGTCCATTTCGTGCGATTTTTCTCTTTACTCACATAGTCATAGAGTCACAATTTCGATTTGTTTCCAACAACAGGCTTGTTAAAACTTGTTGTGACAGGACAAAAATTGTGTGTTGTGGACAGGTTTGTCGCAGGTCTGATAACAAGCTTGCTGCAGACTTGACAAAAACAGCTCGCGACAGGTCTGTTGGAACAAGTTGGAACAACCTGGGGCCAGTTGTATAAAACTCTTAATCACTTTTTTAATCACTATTTTGTAGTTAAATAGTGATTAACTCTCAAATAGGCGCTTCTTATTGGATGACATTTCCACTTAACTATGATTAACTTCTTTTTTTATAACATTTTTTATACAACCGACCCCTGTTGATTTCATCAGACTTGCTGCAAGTTGTTCTATCAAACCTGTTATCTCTTGTTAGTAACAGGTTTGTAGCGGGTTGTTTCAACAAGTCGCAACGGCTCTGTTGTCAACCGTTTGCGACAGACCTGTTCCCGCAAGCCTGTTACCGCCTGATGAAACCAACAGGCCTGTCGCGACTTGTTGTCAACTTGCCGCAAGTCGGTAAAGTTAACAACTTTCGACAGGCCTGTGAGATTTCTGGCTGTCTGCTGTGTAAACATTCCGCAGATTGATGTTATTAAATCTATTATATTTTCTAATCGAAAATGTGAAGATTCTGGCTTATAATTCTTTCAGTATTCTCTAGTAAAAAGTCGTGACTTTTCGGAGAAAAAATAAAATTTCCTCAACTGAAATACAGAAAAAATCCTTAAAAAATTGTGTACTTTGGAAATGTTCAATTTAATTTGGAACGCGTGATATACGAAATACAATGACATCATGATCAATCACCGTGACCGTGCACAAATTAACATATTTATATAGAGAATAATACATGGGTGCGCGGAAATACCAGATTTATTTCGAGTGTTGAACATGATATCTCGCGAGTGAGCGCAGCGAACAAATAAATCTGGTATTTCCAAGCACCCATGTATTTTTTTGTTTATTATATAAAGGACAGTCTTTGAAAAGCGATAATTTTTACAGAAAAGCGATAATTGAAAAGCGATAATTTTCACATGTGAGATTATCAAGAATAATCTCACATGTGAGATTATCACTTTTATCAGTGCTCGAAATCTCTATAAAGCACTATACTTTATATAATATAATAAAATACAATAATTACTTCTGTTTAGTTTTCACACCACCGTATCTTGATAGACTATATATAAATTAATGTGTAGCTTTGTGCGTTCTGAATTTTTTTGTTCTTGACAAAGAAGGCTTGCGTCCGAAACGTAATTTATATAAAGTTTTCTTTATGATCAAATTTCATTTTCGGAGTCACCATTATTTAAACGAAATATTACTAGTATAAATATTTTTTTCAAACGCATTTTGGATATTTAACGGAATGCGTATATATGCAGATGGGACCTAATTTGTTATACTTCATCAAGTTTCGGATAGCAAAACGTATTAATATAGACCACCTGTTATAATATTGCCTTACTTTCTTTAGCTCCGCCACCATTCCTATCACTCTGTCTTGTTTAGAGAAGAAAAAAATTGTCAACGGACGTCTGGCTCAGTTTCTGCTTCCGATTGGAACAGTAACAAACGTTCCAGCAACAGCAATTTATATCGCCCTTGCTTCTATGTTCATTGTTCAGACCTTCCATCCCAACCTTTTGAGTTTCACCTCCTCCATCCTTATTTGGTAAATATATGGAGTTACATTGCAGTTTGTTAAGTTTACAAGGTATAAATTGTCCAAACGACACTGTATTGACCAATCTATTTTTGATATTTTTTATTACATAGTCTATCGTCCACAATAGCAACACTTGCTTCCTCCCCCATTCCTGCTGCTACACCAATAGCTGTTCAAGGCGTTGTTTTACAAGTCATTGGGATCCCAACAGCCGATATTGGATTAATTGTGGCAATTGATTGGTTTGTGTAAGTATATATTTTAACAGGCAGTGTCTTGCACATGAATACGTCTCTATTCCTAGCAATCCTTGCTTCTTATTTGTTGTTATCTCGTTTATTTACGTTTCAAGGCAAATTTTTCCATCTATACACGTACGTCAATGTATAGTACTTTTTACTTCATTTACCTTGGCCCAAACAATCGTTTCATCTTTGTTAAGCGGATTTGGTAATTAATTAATGGCCGTGATTGCCCCAGTGAACTCAATCTAGTTACCTGGAACGATAACATCCAGTCATTTGGCAGTTAAAAAGTGAAGCCTCGCGTCAGCAGTGGCGTCAGCCCTCCACGCCATTTCCACGCCATATAGTACGTCAGTTTCAATCCCCTTATACGCCATCACCGCGCGCGGTCAATTGCCACTCCATATAGTACGTCAGTTTCAGTCCCCTTATACGCCATCACCGCGCGGTCTATCACGACTCAGCGCACGTCAAGTGGCGTTGGCATTGGCTTCAATTGGCTTCACGTTTCTCCCACATGTTATCATTCCAGATAGAAGACATGGAGTTCACTGGGTTGCCCTAAATGGCAAAGACCACAGGAAAGGTTCAACTACAAATGCATGCTACCAACTCTGGCTGCTCAGACGAGTTCTAATCATTAGTTTAAGGAAGTAGAAATCCATATATACTGTCCTAAATTTGGCAATAGTGACCTTAAGATAGCAGACTATCGACTGCAGCAACGGTTCAACACTACTGGGTATTTGACAAAGAGTCCTGCTACGCATGCGCGAGGGCGAATGGTCACCGTCGTAAATTTAGCTACGGTGTGTTGTTACAAGAATTGACGAACTCTGCAGTACCTTAAATTTCACTTCCGCTACCCCCGAAAAGCGCTGCAGCGAAAACCCCGACACCGGCTGGTCACGTAGCACCCAGATTTTGGGTGCCACGTGGAAGTATGTCAATAGGGTGGGGGTAGGACAGGAGACATTTGCTATCAATACAAAAATAGATACGGATGCAGTGTACTGTCCGTTTGTTATGCCTTTTGGATTTGCGGCGTTTGATGGACACATTTGACAAATGGATAGCACTTGTTTATACCCAGTTAAACTCTTGAGATAATTTACAAAGGTATGGACTAACTATGAAATGCATTGCATATACTTTGTAGAATTATCTGAGAATTTTGTGTATCTTCAAAATATAGAATTATCTGAGAATTTTGTACATCTCGTATATCGTTTAACGTCAATAAAATAGTATAATGGTTGTAATGTTTTGTTCTATTTTATGCTTTCGTTTACTAATTGAGCAAATACATTATAATTTTATATAATTATTTGTCTTTGACTTTGGCTATTAACAGTGTACGAAGCTAACCCGAGCCAGCACAAGATGTACATTTTATATGAAATAGTCTGAATAATATGAACGACACTGCATGTATATGGTTTGGTTTTGTCGTCGTTGAACAAAAGATATAATAAAACAATAGCTGCCTTTATGCGGTTTAACTGCTGCACTTCCCCGTGTTTACTTAGCTGTATAGTATATGTCAAATTGCTACACCTTTTGGGGTTCTAAATAATGTTTGTCGCAAAACACAAATCATAGTTATAGAAGGATAGAGAAGGTTGTCAACACTGAAAGCGAAATGTCTGAATGCAGTATTTTAGAATGTACAGCTGTATTATATATATTATTGTAGTATTAAACGTTTTTGGACATTTATATGTGCTACTTCTAGCGCTTTCGCGCATAGGCGTACGGGCTTAGAAATATATGGGGGCGGATGTCAATTTGCCAGACGAGCGCCGAAGGAGCGAGAGCTGTTAGGGGGGTAAAGCTTGTTAGCTGTTAGGGGGGTAAAGCGAAAAGTAAAGCTACTAAAATGCCAATTCCTGCGTTTTGGGGTGAGATTTTGTGCATGGAGCGGGTGAGGAACGAAGAGAAAATTAATGAAACAAGACAAAGTCTGAGGACTATTTTACATGTAATAATTATCATAAATGTAACTTTTATCGAAAACCTAACCTACTCTCCCCTACAAGTTTATTCCGTGTATTATATTATGCATACTCTGTCAAAAGAAATGTGAGGCACGGTGACTTCGTTGGCCAAAAACATCAATGATTCTGTGCTCGTTCCATACAGAGAAGAGAAATTCTCGACCCATTGTGGAACGAATGTACATTTTTACCCTTCGTTCACATTCATTTCCCATGTCTTGGAACTGAAATATTTTTACGGGAACAGACACTTTCGAACACGCTGAGTTCAAATCCGAAAAGTTGCCGCTCCGTAGACCTGCAGTTTTCTCACAAACTGCAATTTTATCTTCACTAATTTCATGACAACTTTTTTCATTGTTCAACGACACGGATCGATGGCGACAAACGATTATGTCACTCAAAAAGACCAATTTCCATTAACCAGTTTACCTTTGAACAAAAGACCGGTTTTGCTCGAATCATTTTGAGTTATGTAATATTATGCGTGCTGAACATAAACAACATATCTTCTCTACAACTTTGAGAATTGAAGGTACAGATAAAGCTTTCTAGAATCCTCAGTTCTGGCTCTATCTCAATAAAACGACAAGGATGTTAATGATAAGTCTTTTGGCTATGTCTCTGGGCTGAGAAATAACTCTTATAACGCGTTCAAGGTATTTTAAACAGCAGTAACGCGAAGCCAACGGAACGGCAAAGATAACGCTAAAATGAAATATGGTCAATGAGTTGCTGGTTGCAAACTTACGACAGAATCACTCTTAAATAATCATAAACTAGAAGAATAAGTGTTCACATCAAAGACAAATATCAGTGCCAAAGCACAAAATGTGCTCTGTAAACTTACGACGAAGTGGAGAAATGTGTGCATGAGCTGTTTATTTGGTGATCTCAACGTATTGTAAAACGACCTCTTTATTCGTTGTTATTATATAGCAACACGCGGGATCGTCGAGGCCGTTAGGGGGACAGCTTGATTAGATCCACAACAAGTAAAACTTGGTAAAACAATACGTATATCTTTCTTAATATCTTTTAATGTTTCCCCAGTGCGTGCTATATGTTCCAATTCTCTCGAATGAATGTGCGATATCGATATCTATTTACATAAGACAAGGTGTATTGTTCATTGTCATTGTGCATTGTCCGTAGGTGCGTGCGCATCCTAATCTTAATATATAACCAAACAAAGTTCAAAGGTTCACATAACAAAGGTCAATGGTCCTCTTACATATCTCCCATATTTAGTTGAAAACCTCCTGGTTTTCTTTTCTTTCCTTTCTTTTGTTCTTTTTTTTAATTATTAAACAACATTAGAAAAAATGTTCCACAGTATAGTAGTAAGTGTTTATTTATTTTTTTTCTTCTTTGTGTTCTTGGCTTGTGCTGCCACAACTTTGGACTTCGGTCTATCGTTCCAGAATTGTAGTGTTCTCTTTAATTCGCAACTCTATTCTTGACATTCTTGGGATAGTTCATTTTCGATAGTTCATCATGAATGCTCAAATACGCACAAGTACTAACCTTAATCTGTACGTAAGGCATGTTGACGAGGACAAGTACCAAGAAAATGGTAAGAAGTGATTTGTTTTCTTTGTTGTGTCAAGGAAAGGACAAAACGAATGAGACATAACACATGATACACAATGATTAACATATATTACACATTTGTACAAAACTGGACGCTCTCGCGATTCTCTTCCCACAAACGACAAAATAATTTATACCATAATCGCTATGATACCATAACTACAATGTGTCGGTCCGAAAGAGAACGGGGGGGGGGGAAATGTTTAAATGTTCGTCGAGAGAAACATATAATCATATCCAAAAATGGGGAGGACGAATACCGTTCAATTTAGAGCAAAATTATCCCAAAGGCGAAAGCGAAGTTGTCAATGTTCGTTTGTACTACGTCCGTCTCGCCAACCCATGAATTGTGTTGGTGGCCATACCCTTCCCACTTAACTAGGTATCGGACAAGGTGGTGGTGTATCCGTAGGTGGGGTGTGTTGTGTTTCGTATTTAGTTTATTAGGATTGCCATATAATATCAACGATTACAAAGAATAAGTTTACAAAACTATATTGGGCCTTTCGCCATGTTTTTATATAAGCCTGCATAATGTTATCACGTGTTCTTGTGTCCTTATATTTATGTTACATGACGTAACAATATATCACTACATCCCTCTTTCCCTTATAACAAAACAAAGTCAATGTCAACTATAATTAATAAAAATATTGTTCTTAGTATCATGCAGTTCATGCGTAATAGTCTGGTGGTTTTACCACTCGTCCACTTCGAGTTGTTACTCTACCTGACGTGTTGTTGCTGTTGTCAGGATTGTTGCTGTTGTCAGGATTGTTGGTGGTTGTGCTTGATTGTGGCGTAGATGGTAATTCTCTCAGGTGGATTCGGTTGCGCCTCAATTCCCCTGTTGGTGTGTCGACTTGATAAGATCTTGGGGTATTGAAAATCTTTTCCTTTATGGTTGCTGGACTCCATTTGCCAGTCGACGGATTTTGGACACTGACAGATTGTCCTGACTGTAGAGCAGGAAGAGGTTTCACGTGTTGATCATGATATTGTTTTTGCTTTTCCTGCCTTTGCTCTAATCTGGTTATAATGTCATCACTATTGTGATCCCTGGTAATTTTCCGCGGTAAATTGTCTTTAAGTTTCCTTTTCATGAGCAGTTCTGCTGGTGATGGTAACGTATTGTCTATCGGTGTGGAGCGCAAGCAAAGGAGAGCAATGTTCGGGTCAGTTTCGGTCTTCTTAGCTTTAGCTAATATTGCTTTCACTGTCTTCACTTGACTTTCAATGTACCCGTTACTTCGGGGATAATGGGGTGAACTTGTTACTATCTGGAACCCGTATTCATTAGCAAATTCGCGATAGTCCTTGCTGGAATAATGTGGACCGTTATCAGAACAAACGACTTCTGGGATTCCTTGTTCGCTGAATATCTGCTTTAGGATCGCTATAATGGTCTTGCTGTTGCTCTGCCCTTTTGGGATTTTCCTCACAAATGGGTACTTGGAGTAATAATCGGAAACAAGCAAATATTCTGTGTTATCAAGATAGAACAGATCAGTGGCAATTGTATGCCAAGGGCGAGGTGGTATTTCTGTTGGGATGAGTGGTTGTCGGGTTTGCGTTGGTTGGAATTTTTGGCAGGTACGACAAGATTTGGTTATTTTGTCGATATCTTCGTTCATCTTTCGCCAAAAGACGGATGTTCTGGCATGAAGTTTTGTTTTCTCTGCACCTTGATGTGCTGCATGAAGTTTTCCAAGAATTTCGACTTGAAGGGTTGATGGTATAATGATTCTTTGCCCTTTCATGAGTATTCCATTTTCAATACTAATTTCGTCTCTGTAGCACCAATACGGTTTGAGAACTTGTGGAACTTCTTTAATTGATGTTGGCCAGCCTTCGTGCACAATCGTTTTGAGCATCATCAGCTCCTGATCAGAAGTTGTTTCTAGTTTGACCTTCTCGATCATTTCGCTGCTAAACTGTGGGCAAACTTCGTGAATTTACACGTTCATATCTTTCACTGGGTTCTTTTCTTCGGGGGATAATCGTGACAGAGCATCTGCTAGTAGCATGTCTTTTCCTGGAATATATTTGATAGTTAGGTCGTAGGGTTGTAACCGGAGTAGCATACGCTGCAGTCGGGGTGGTGCAGACGTGAGGTGTTTCAGGTGGATACTCTCGAGCGGTTTATGGTCAGTATGGACAACTACTGGTCGTCCAAACAAATAGGTGTGGAAACGTTCGCATCCATATACAACAGCCAGCATTTCCCTTTCGATGTTGGCATATCTGGTCTCCACGTCTGTTAATGATTTACTTGCAAACGCAACAGGTTTCCCTTCTTGTATTAGTGCTGCTCCGAGATCCTTTGTTGAAGCGTCCACTTGTAGAACAACTTCTTTGGTGCTGTCGAAATAGTTTAAGGTGATCTCTTCACTGATGGCTTGTTTAACTTCGTCAAATGCTCGTTGGTAGTTTTCATTCCATTCGAAGGTATTCTTCTTCTTTAGGATTTCTCGTAATGGTGCTGTAATGGAGCTAAGGTTTGGGATAAAAGGACCCATGTATGTGGCTAGCCCAAGGAATGTCTGGAGCTCACGACGATCTCTGGGCTTTGTCATCTGTTTCAAGGCGGAAACTTTGGATGGATCTGGCTTAATACCCTCTTCATTGCATATAACTCCATAGAATTTGATTTGTTTCTGCTTTATGAAACATTTCTCAGGGTTGAGCTTTAGACCGGTGTTTTGGCATCTCTCCATCATACCATGTAGGTTTTCATCATGCTCTTCCGCTGTCTTGCCAAAGACCACTATGTCGTCAGCGATTCCCACAACACCATTGCAGCCCTCAAAGGTTTGATCTATTTTTGATTGAAAGACATCTTGTGACATCTTTAAACCGAATGGCATTCGTTTAAATCGATATCGCCCGAACGGCGAGTTAAATGTTGTTAAATAACTGGATTCTTCATCTAGTGTCACGTTCCAGTAGCCGCTTCTTGCGTCGAGGATAGAGAAATGGGTAGCACCATTCAACTTTGGTAGGATTTCTTCTAGGGTTGGTGTAACGTGGTGGTCACGTTGGATAGCAGCATTCAAGTCTTTCGGATCCAGGCATATTCTTAGCCTCCCATTGGGTTTCCTTCGGTAAACTAGACTGTTGACCCATGCTGTGGGTTCACCTTCTCGAACTTTGGTTATAATGTCTAGCTGTTCCATCTCTTCTAACTCGTGTTTGATATCATCTTTAAGGCTAATGGGTACGCGTCTGGGTGGGTGAATGACAGGTGGAACTGAAGGGTCTAAGGTGATGTGATATTCCCCTTGGAATTTGCCAATCCCATTGAAACAATTTGGGTATTGTGCAATCAGGTGAGATTTATTATCTATGCAAGTGCTTGGTTTAAGCTTTGCCGTGTCCTTAGTAGGCGAGGTCTCTTGTACTTGCGATTTCTCTACTGAACAGTTCAACGTAATCAAGTGAAGATCTAGTGCAGTTGGTAATCCAATAATTGCTCTACTGTGTACATCAGTCACATAGAATGTAGCGCTTGTGCTGTTGTTCTTGTATGAGCACTTTATTTCGCATGTACCAAATTGTGGAATTGGAGTACCCCCGTATGCTGTAAGGGTGGTCGTGGACTTTTTAACTGCACTTATCTTGGGTTTACCATCATAGCTGATATTCGCTGGGAACATGCTACGGTATAATCTTAGTGGTAGGATGTTTGCTTGAGCACCTGTGTCAACTTTAGCTCTCAATTGTGTGTTATGGGTATTATTTGGCAGCTCGATGTTGATCATGACTAGTGCTTCATCTTTGGTTTGGCTGTTTGAGTCAGGTGTAATACTGTCAACTGTGATCGTGTCAAAAACTAGTGTATCGAATTCATCACTTGACTCGTTGTTTACATTCAAATCATGGATCCGCCTATTACTGTTTCGACTTTGACCTTGGCTGTATCTAGTTTGTTTGCCCTCATTGGGATTTTGGCTTCCTGGTCTAGCTTGGTAGTGGGGTGTTTTGTTTATTTTCTTGCGACACATTTTTGCCCAATGGTTTGGCTTTGAGCAAAAGTTACAGCTTGTCCCGTAGGCTGGGCATTTTCTAGCTTCATGCTCAGTTCCGCAGTTCTGGCATTTTTGTTTAGGCTTTGCGAATTTTGATAGTGCATGTACGGATTTCTGAATTTCACTTGTTTTATTTAATTGAGCGACATGAGCTATGGTAGCTTCATATGTTCTGGCATAATCTATTGCTTCGTCTAAGCTCAGATTTTCATCTTTTTCGAGTATTTTTTCTTGTGCTTTCTTATGTCTTGTTCCAATCACTAATTGTTCAATTAATCTTTCATTCGTTTCTTGTTGATCTCGAAATTTACATTTTGCTGCCTGGTTTCTGCATCTGGTCATAAAATCGTCAATGTTTTCGTTTGGTTCTTGTCTCAATTGTTGTAATTGAAATCGTGCTAGCCTATAGTTACTTCTTGGCGCGAGGTGTTTCCCATATTTCTCCCATATGGCTTTGGGCTTCACTTTGTCCTGTTCGTTCTCCCATACAAAGCTGTTGTAAATATCGACTCCCTGTCGCCCAATCCATAGTAAAATATAAGATGCTTTTTCCTTTTCTGTTTTCTTTAGAAATGGCCCATCAAATACAAGGTTGCAATATTGCTTAAAGGAATTAAACTCGTCTGGAATGTCTGAAGCATTCCAGTTCATTGTTGGTGGGGTAAACCCAGTGGCCATGTCTCTTTACGTTTATTTAATATCGTTCGAATACTTGCAAGTAAATGTCTGTTCGTATTGAACGAAATATTTTGACTTACCAAGTCTGATTTACGTTTCTTTTCCTTGTGGACTGTTGATCAGATCCCACTCTTTGACACCATCTTGTGTTTCGTATTTAGTTTATTAGGATTGCCATATAATATCAACGATTACAAAGAATAAGTTTACAAAACTATATTGGGCCTTTCGCCATGTTTTTATATAAGCCTGCATAATGTTATCACGTGTTCTTGTGTCCTTATATTTATGTTACATGACGTAACAATATATCACTACAGGGTGTGTCCGTAGGAGGTGGTACCTGCAATTCTCCAGTGTCAGAGTTGATAACAGATTGACAATGCGTCAAGAGATCTGCACCAAATATTACATCATAAGCCAAGTTATCAACAATATAGGCACAGTCAGGGTACTTGAATTGTCAAATTTGAAATGGTATCAACGATTCAGGAACAGCTGTAAATGACACGGTAAACAAGAATATATATATAGCTATGATACTAATTCGAATATGGTACGTCATATAATGTCTACAAATACTACAGTTAACGACACAAACTATATATCAACAAAATACAAAAAAAATATATTTACGCTACACAGCTCGCACTCGCTAGTCTCGCTACAGATTACAGATACAGTCTTACAGATCATTAACGAAAGAAGGAAATGTATTGACACAACAAGCGTTTCCTTGCCTATTTATTGCCAACTAGCCAAACAAACAAACAAGGTCGTAAATGACGCGTACCTGAGTCATTCCTTTAGCATGAATAATGGAGTATCCGTACTGCCTACTGGCTCGCTTTATATATATTTAGATTAGATCGTCAATCCTTCGTCACAGTTCAGGGTTCACAATTCGGAGTTCACAGTTCACAGTTCATGACCTCTGGTTCACAACCAAATAATCTGCCATTGTGCCCGCATCTTCCGCCAATGTAAAACGACCTCTTTATTCGTTGTTATTATATAGCAACACGCGGGATCGTCGAGGCCGTTAGGGGGACAGCTTGATTAGATCCACAACAAGTAAAACTTCAATACGTATATCTTTCTTAATATCTTTTAATGTTTCCCCAGTGCGTGCTATGTTGATTCCAATTCTCGCGAATGAATGTGCGTATCGATATCTATTTACATAAGACAATGTGCATTGTTCATTGTTCATTGTGCATTGTCCATAGGTGCGTGCGCATCCTAATCTTAATAACCAAAGTTGAAAGGTTCACATAACAAAGGTCAATGGTCCTCTTGCAGTATATAGTCTAGGACCTGTATATGAGTTTGTATGCGATTCATTTAGGACAGGTAATCTCAACTGTTTTAGGGTAAAATGACCATGGCGGTCAACATGGCATATGTGCGAAAACCTGATTCCAGGACGAAAGTCCTGAAAATGACCCCGCCCTGAAACGGCAGTGTCGACATAGATCTAACTTCCAAAAAGGAAAAGCGATAGCCTTTCTGAAGTGCTTATAGTGTTTAGAAGGGTTGCTTTTAGGGGTGGTCATTGAAGGAAAAATTTGTCTAAGTATAATATTTTACCAGAAAATGACTATGCACCACCCCAGGTAAATTGCTGATTATGCACAAAATAACTAATATGCCTGGCAGAAATTTAATATTCTTATTTCCTAAAAAAAATTATTATGGGGTGAAAAACTATGCTTAATTTAATATAAATATTGTTGATTTCATAAGGATTGTCATTGTTTTCTTTAAATATAATACATTTTATTTCACTTACCCCCAAGAAAACACGATTTCAGCCATATTTTGCCGTCTTGTTTGCTTTTTATCGCCGAATCTCGCAAATATCATCCAGTTATTGTACTTTTACATAATTATAAATGGCTGAAGAAGATTTCAAAGAAGGTTTCATCCACTTTTGTAACAGTGCAGTGTATTTTATCTTCGATATTGTGTCCTTCGATATTTCGTTAAATTGCTGCCATTTTAATGGCTCGCCGCTTCTCTGCCCGATAAATGCCACTTCTTCGTTTTCATATGTATTTAGATTACATTATCCAAGAGTACTTCATTGTAGAATAGTACCAATCCAAAAATTGAAAATGTCATTGGTACTTGGGAGGAAAAAACCTCCCATAATAGTTGTCCTGTTTGAATTCAAAAGAAATAATTTAAAAGTCAAGCGCAAGTTCGCGAAAAGACCTCGTGGGTTACGTAACAGGGGGAGTGAATATTTTCACGAAACGTTTGTTCGCCACCACAGGCCACAGCAACCTTAACTAAGTACATTATATTTATTGTATATTTATGATTTTTGATAAAAGCAATAAATATTTGCGTATCAATTATAAAAATACAAAAAATATAATACATTTTTAAATTAGTTAGATTGCTGCTGGGTTGCTGTGGTGGCGAACAAACGTTTCGTGAAAATATTCACTCCCCCCTGTTATGTAACCCACGAGGTCTTTTCGCGAACTTGCGCGTGACTTTTAAATTATTTCTTTTGAATTCAAACAGGACAACTATTATGAGAGGTTTTTTCCTCCCAAGTACCAATAACATTTTCAATTTTTGGATTGGTACTATTCTACAAGGAAGTACTCTTGGATAATGTAATCTAAATACATATGAAAACGAAGAAGTGGCATTTATCGGGCAGAGAAGCGGCGAGCCATTAAAATGGCGGCAATTTAACGAAATATCGAAGGACACAATATCGAAGATAAAATACACTGCACTGTTACAAAAGTGGATGAAACCTTCTTTGAAATCTTCTTCAGCCATTTATAATTATGTAAAAGTACAATAACTGGATGATATTTGCGAGATTCGGCGATAAAAAGCAAACAAGACGGCAAAATATGGCTGAAATCGTGTTTTCGTGGGGGGTAAGTGAAATAAAATGTATTATATTTAAAGAAAATAATGACAATCCTTATGAAATCAACAATATTTATATTAAATTAAGCATAGTTTTTCACCCCATAATAATTTTTTTTAGGAAATAAGAATATTAAATTTCTGCCAGGCATATTAGTTTTTTTGTGCATAATCAGCAATTTACCTGGGGTGGTGCATAGTCATTTTCTGGTAAAATATTATACTTAGACAAATTTTTCCTTCAATGACCACCCCTAAAAGCAACCCTTCTAAACACTATAAGCACTTCAGAAAGGCTATCGCTTTTCCTTTTTGGAAGTTAGAGCTATGTCGACACTGCCGTTTCAGGGCGGGGTCATTTTCAGAACTTTCGTCCCGGATTCAGGTTTTCGCACATATGCCATGTTGACCGCCATGGTCATTTTACCCTAAAACAGTTGAGATTACCTGTCCTAAATGAATCGCATACAAACTCATATACAGGTCCTAGACTAATAATGAAACCCTCTTTCCGATAATACTCGCTAATCGCACAGAATAACACCAACTAATATAATATAGTTCAAATGCAATGATAAGTTACCTCTCGAATTACGTCTCAAAAATTGTGTTGGAAATTTAAATCATGCTGACCCATTTCATAATATTACCGTTTCACATCGTTGTATAAAACATTTTGATCGCATGTAAAGTATTATTTCTCAGCCCAGAGCATAGCCAAAAAACTAAGCATTAACGTCCTTGTAATTTTATAGAGATAGAGCCAGAATTGAGGATTTCAGAAAGCTTTATCTGTACCTTCCCAAAGTTGTAGACAAGATATGTTGTTTACGTCCAACACGCATAATATAACATAACTCAAAATGATTCGAGCAAAACCGGTCTTTTGTTAAAAAGAAGACTGGTTAATTGAAATTGATCCTTTGAGTGAGATGATCGTTTGTCGTCATCGATCCGTGTCGTTGAAAAATGGAAAAAGTTGTCGTGAAATTAGTGAAGATAAATTTGCAGTTTGTGAGAAAATGCAGGTTTATAGGTCTGGAACTTTTCGGATTTAACTCATCGTGTTCGAAAGTGTTAGTTCCCGTAACAATATTTCAGTTCCAAGACAGGTGAAATGAAAATCGTTTTCTAGGCACTTTTCGAGGTCACAGCAAACGGCCTACAAATCCATAAACCAGGGCATCAAGAACTTCTTGAAGTGCCATTTTTAACAACTTTTACTTGTTAACCATAGACAAATTTCGTATTTTAAAACATCAACGGACCAAAACCGAAACCTGAAATTTCGCGCCATTCAAGCGTATTCGTCCCAGTCCATATATTATAAAATCACTCACGTCCAACCGTTGCCGTAGTCGGTATCTGCTATTTTAAAGTCCCTTATGCCTGGTTCACACTGGTCGTAAGAATCGGGGATATCCATTGTCTGTGATTATTGGTGTGTAAAATGCTTTGTCTGTCGGAAAAGAATACAATAGATCGCCGATAAATTACGACCAGTGTGAACCAGGCTTTAAGCCCGGCGTACGCTAGTGCAAGTTGCACGCACACTTGTCATTCGTGACTGGTCACACGACACGTAATTGGTCACGAATGACAAGTGTGCGTGCAACTTGCACTAGTGTGCGCCGGGCTTAATATAACTGGCCAGCTTTTAAAAATTTGCCGCCGTGCGGAGGAGAGAACATGGATGTAACGGTAACATGGCCAAAGCGAACTGTACTTTTACTTCAGCTTAACTGAAGACAGCTAGGTTGTTGCATATGTACATCTCATGTGTTGAAGATCTTCATATAAAAACCACTTTCAAAAAATGCAATAATTTGAAAGCGCTGCAATACCAACAAAAGTATTTCATACAAATCTGTCTCAGTTGACCGTTCTAAATTGCCCAAACTATATAATTTTAATTAGTGGTAACATTTTTTACTTTATAGAGATCGCTTCGCCACACCTACCAACATTTGGGCGAACTGCATAGCCTGTGTTATCATTGAACATTATTCACGTGAAGAACTTCAGTCATTAGATGACGTCACAAAACCATGTGAAAAAGCATGTACTACCGTATGTGATGACACAAATAGTGATGTCACCATTGATATTGCTGAAGAAGTGGAAGTAACAATATCATAACATTATTGAAGCCTCACTATGATGATATCGAACAATGCCGCATTATCTGAAAATAAAGTTGTACAGTCCGATACAGTTGTACTGGCGTAGCCAGCCCGACAATTTAGTCCCGCTAATAACGGAAATTCAAAATTATTATCGTTATTCATTTCTTTAGAAATTGATTGTTTTCACAGTCAATACCGGAAAAAAAAATATTTGCATATAGCGGGACTAAATCGTCGGGCTAGCTACGCTACTGCACGAAATTAAACTACATATTTTGACGATGAGGTAGATAATCATCGACTGAAGCCATTTTCGAGTCAAGCCCCGGACCACACCTATTTTCGTCAAGGCAAAACTCGAAGAACGAAACACAACTTGGAAAGTTCGGTCCCGTGAAAAAAGATCGAGGGGCTTAACTCGAGTCATTGAAAATATTCGACGCTCGTGTTAACCCCACCATGAAGCATGTAAAAGTAACACAGTAACATCACAAGCATCACCATAGAAGGTATAGGCAAAAAGATAAAAATAGTTTAAATAATACTTTTGGTCCTTTAATCCACAAGAAAACGTTAACAATATTCAATAGATAACTTCAATTAAACCAAACTTCAATTAAACCAAATTTTATAATCCAAACTTGTGGTTCGCTAAAGTGGTTCCCCACCCATCGGAATTTTTTATTTTCAAAAGTTGAACAATCTTCAAAACCGGCGTCTTAATAGTATATGCTGTTTCCTATTAATTATTACCTCGGAGGATGTCCAAAATTATACTGGTAGCGCTTTATTAGTCATCAAATGAATCTGAATTCGTTAGTGTTTATTATAATGTGTTTTTATGTGCTGTTAAGGCGGCCTTCCAAAGTACCGACGTTTGTCAGAGCAAATGTATAGCAGTCGATTCGTTCTGAATAATGTATGATTCTAAGTATTCTTTGGGTTGGTGTTAGTATATTTCATAATTTATCTTAATTTAACACAGAGATGTCGAGAAATGATAAATTTAAAAAGTAATATACAGTATATTCGATGGAGGACCACCTCAGTTAAAGACCTTAAAGACAATTTGAGGCAACCAACTTACAAGGTAAGACAATTTTCAGAACATCTTGTCCAAAAGGAGCAAGCTAAATTTAGTGTCCACTGGTACTGTTAACACGAGTCTAAAATGAAAATATATTGTATATATACCATATTTATGTATTTTAACGAATTACGTATTGCGGTTATCCCGGTTATTTGTCACATCAACCACTCAGAAATGCATATTTATGAGCATTATGGTTTACTAGAAGTCCTCTGCGCTGTAGTAGAGATATGTCTTCTGATGAGAGCTGTGAATTACGCGCGATCTTTATTTGATTTATTTCGCTGGGCGGTGTTTGAATATTACTAGCAAATAGCTTCATTGAAATGCAGCAATTGTCTGCACATGCAGAAGTAAAATTGTCGATTAACAGCAAATCGTTGATTACGTGGAATATATAGGCTACTTACGACAATAAACATTTTCGCAATTTAACTCGTTGCTGTCGGTCCTGCAGGAAACTCGCACACCAATTCAAAAGCACCGGAGAAACGTTCAGCAATACACCGGCTCGTTACTAGATTCTGGCAATTGGCAAACAAACTGATGTGATATACCTAGATATAGACGTGTGTGATCTCGAATTTGAAAAGCAATAACACCACTCATCAGGTCGAGGTATTTGTATAATAAATATATTTGATTCTGTATAGTGTTCTTCATGAACAGCGCTATATATTGCGCTAACAATATTCAACAATTAGTTTTGTCTCTGTCCACTTTTTTTTGTGCAACCATTTTAAGAATGTTGATTAGAGGATGAAGTGCCTGAAAGGCACCATGGTATCAGCTAAAAGTTTCATAAATCACTTTTATTAAAAATATCAATTTGAGCCACACTTTCATATAGCACTATGACTCCTCTATTTACATTTGTGCGTGGAGTGCACAAGTACGTCTACCTAATACAATTAACTAAATTAATAAAACCCGATTTCACACCTTTATCAATTTTGTTAACAGTCGTTTACCAATTGAACAATGTCAGAAAATAGTTTCAATGCGTCGTTCACATCAGCAGGAGGGATAAAATTCGGTATTGATAAAGTCTAATCAATTCCTCCACGTTTGGGTCATAGTCGGGACAATTTTCCGTGTACATTTCCCTACAAATAGTAATATCTTCTGTGTTGACATGGATATAAGGTAGTTTCTTTTGTTATCTATCTCAGGCGTGAAAAAAGCACATTAGGCTTCCCTGAATTTAATTCAGGTTGAGATTGAATGGTGTGTGTATTCCATAGTTCAGCAACGAGGAATAACTCTTTACGCAGTATCGGCATGAAAAGGAATTTTAGGCATTCGCTTAAAACTGGATCGTCAATGTTGATGCCTGAGTCACGAAGTTCATCCATCACCCTCCTCCACCATTCCGAAGCTTAGACCACCATGATTCAATATGTTGATTACTACTGCTTTTTCCTTGGATACAACTTTTTGACCCTGCAGATTGTCCTCGTTATCGCATCTAAAGAGTTGTTGTAAGTCACGAACTACGACATTTTCTGTTCCTTTACTGCTTCTTACTAGTCTTGGAACCCCTCCTAATGGTTGAACTTTGTCTAAGTAATGCCAAGCAATGAATCTCGGATTCTTGTTTGTGGAGCCAACCTCCAACAACATTATGCGCCTGGAATAACCATCGATTGCACCGTGAATATAAAATCCAAATGGAGCTAACTTGTCCCAACCATCTATATGCCAAAGAAACTTTGGTCCAGGACTTGTGTATTTTCGTCTCCTCAGTCTCCTACTTCTTCTCTGATCAACGCCTACTGGATCAATAACACGGAATATAGGTCATAACAATGTCTCGAGTCACATTCAAAATGTATTTTCGTCTCAGGCGTTGTGTTAATTGCCTGTAGCCCCAAAACGATCAGGATGAACTATCCAGTTCTCGCAAAATAGCGTGTATGATTGACGGCCACCGATGAATGATTCCTTTTACTCGCTCTTTTTAAATTTAGTCTTTTTAATATTCGTTTGATCGTGCGCACACACAAAACAATTCCATGATGTAGAGCCAGAAAGACAGCTATTTCATTATTGGAATAACCTTGTTGAAAATAATGTCTTATTAAATCGTCTTTTCCATAGCAGGGTTGACCAGTGGTAGTGCTGGGGTGTCTTATAGTTTGGCAGGACACCAAAACACCCATGTACCATAAAAAATGCTAATATAGGATGAGATACCTGCGATAAAAGAGAAATTCATTATAATATTTTTATTGCACAATTTATTGGACATATAATTGACATATAATTGACATTTTAAATTAATCTAGCTTCAATTAACAGTTCGGGCTAATCACATGTAGTTCCTTAATATCTCCAATAATATTTTTTTTAAATTCAATGTTCCCCGCATTAGTTGACATGCTTTACCATGTCATGATAACAATTAATACCAAGTTGTATTACGGTCTAATTAAGTACATTACTGATTGCTATTTTGCACTTACCGTATTCTTATTACTATTATCATACTGTATTTTATATATTATTTAACAAATATAAAACATTTTCCGTGTTGATATACAGTTATATCAACACCAGTGGAAATTGGGAAAACGAGAAATTGTGTGGAAACACGACGCCCGAAGGGCGGAATGTTTTCACACAATTTCGAGTTTTCCCAATTTCCACGAGTGTTGATATAACTATATATCAATACGGAAAAAATGTTTTATATTTTTTTTATAATATTGCAATGTCAAAAGCCCGAAAGATACGAAAAATTTCCGTGTTTACAAGCGGCGGAAAATTTCCCGTGTTGACATTGAGTTATATCAACACGGCTCTTAGCCAATCAGCGTTCAGAATTTACAAATGTTATATTATAAATTATATTATTAATTAATCTCGTACACCACTGTCTTCAGAAGGTAACTATTTCCAAAACTCCAAATCCCGCTGAGAAACGTCCAATCTCAGAAACTCGAAATCTCGGAAACTCCGAAACTCGGAAACTCGGAATCTCGGAAACTCGGAATCTCGGAAACTCGGAATCTCGGAAACTCGGAATCTCGGAAACTCGGAAGTCCCTTCTCGGCCATCGTACCATGCATAGTCACTCAGAACAAAATAATTACCTTTTTATCACACGTTTTTATTTCTTTAAAACAATGTTTTCTCACTGTTTTGATAAATTTTTAGTTTTTTCTTATTTATTACCGTCTAGCGCATTCTAAGCTTAGTCAATCAAAATTCAGCACGTGACTTAAGCGAGCCAATAGCATTTCGTTGATGAACGCGTGATATTTGCAAAATTTCGACTTCCAAATGTTTAGGGGAATAAAAATAAAGTTTAATTCGGGAAATTTTTCAATTTTATTATATAAAACAAATAGATTACATTTTCCCGTTGTCTGTTCAGTTATAAATACACAGTATGACGTCATATGTAAGGCTCATGGACACTTTCTCGTGGACACTTTCCCGTGGACACTTTCCCATTTTCCCGTTGTCTGTTCAGTTATAGATACACAGTATGACGTCATATGTATGGCTCGTGGACACTTTTTGTTCTTACCACATATGAAGTCATACTTTGTTCTATAACTATAACTGTGACAACGGTTAAATGTAATCTATTTGTTAAATAGATACCGTATCTATATGTAGACCTGGGTTCATGTGAACATGGCATTTGTCCGCGGTCGTATACGTCTTTCCGTCCGTATCCGCCTTTTAGCCTACACTCACTCAGTTATACGTAACACGGTAACAGGTAAATCGACTTCCTGTGTTATTTGAAAACAATATCTGAAACGTACTCTTTAAAGCAACAGCTTTGTCAAAAGCTTTAAGATAACACACACACTAAGCTAAGATGGCTTTATCAAACCATGGAGCTTATTTTTTAATCACAATCGGTTGTGTTATGTTAGTATTGACCACAACTTCTTTCATATGCGGTTGTATAGCAATGAGCAAACTGTTTGGAATAAACCCTGGCGAAGCAAGTGTTGGTTTTATGGGCCTCTACGTAAGTGTTTTGTCAGTTTTATGTTGTTGTTGTCTTAGGTACTATCTACTAACAGTAGCGTTTGGTATAGGTCAGTACGATTGTACGTACTTGTATACATGAAGTTCTAAGAATGGCATTATGGCAAGACGCTGTATAGCTATTAATATTCAAACTCGTACTTGTCTTCCTCCATTAAACAAGAGTGGGTTGACTACAAAATATTTGACAATTTGTAGTTCGCTACATGCTATATTTCGAAAAACTGTACAATAGTCTTCTACAACTATACGTCTGCTATACTGGTCAAAAAATGTATAGTTTGCTACTATCGCTTGTGCTGTTTCCGACTAAAAATGTAGCGAACTACTATCCTCTGACTTCGCCACAACAAAGTTTCGCGAGTCCTTTAATTAGTCTTCAAGATAATGATTAAACAATTTTATCTATTTCAGTTGATTGTTTGAGTTCAAATAACGGCAAAGGGCTCAGTGACTCTAAAATATCTAATTCTTTGGTTAATATTTATATATAATAGTGGAAACTGCTATATAGATGATATTGCAAATCTTAAAACAAGGCAGCTTACTAACTACGAATCTATTTCTCAGTTGCAAAAAAGGAAGGAGGATTTTTGTAACAACGATATTAGTGAACGGAGAAGGCCTTTTAGATGACGTCAAGCAACCCGATCACATGCATGCATACTCACCAACTCCAAAGACCCTTTGTCTTGACACAATTAATGATTTGAAGTGAAACAATATAGAAGAATGCACCCCCTCTTAAAAGAAAACGCTTTTGATTTAAGTTATAACGAAAACCTTAGTATAAATCTCAATGCGTCAATTATTGACCCAACACATATGAACAGTCAACAAAAGTCCAACTCGCAGATGCCCTAAAATTAAATCCTGCACTAATAAACCCGCTTGAATGAAAATAACTCTCCCCACAATGAAAAATCTATTGGGAATTCATTACCCTCTAGTACCAAAGCAAAAAGAGATTCATATATTAAGCAACTTTATCCAACAATTCAGAAGAGGGTTTCATTGGGGTTGAGCGTAAAAAGAGAGCAAAATGCAAACAATTCTTCCTTTTGCACATCGCTAAATCTGTTAATATAAAGGTCAAATCTACTCATACCTTAACACTAGAAATGTAACCCCAAATAATCAGTATTTCCACTCTCCGAAGTAAACGTAGAGGCACAATCTCGGCCAAGATTTCTATTCCTTTGGCTTCTAGTTCAGACGTACTTGAGGAAAACTTCTGGCCAAAACATGTAATTCGCTGTAAGCCATGGCCCATATGGAGAAATTTCTCAACGTATGTATGATGGCTAGTACAATACCAATACGAATAACATATCGAAAGAGTAAAGACACGAGATAAATACATTATGGTCGACGTGATAGCCAATTAATTTCGATTCCTACGTATTCGAAACTGTCGTATTAATTCGTTCTTAAAATTCATTCTTAGTAATGCGAGATATATGGTCAACAAGCTTGACGAAATTCAGGGAGTCGTTTTAGCCAACAAATGTGATAAGTAATAACCGAAATGGCATTCTTAAAGTCTTTCCTTCCCACTATTAGTTCAATATTTTAGTATTGCCTAACAATAAAGATAAGTAATTTTGTGTTTTTAATTTAAATCAAGGATCATACAAGAGGTTTTGGATAATACTTTTATTTTAGCTACGTTTTGGATAGTTTACTATCCGAAACGTAGCTAAAATAAAAGTATTATCAAAAACCTCTTGTGTGGTCCTTGATTTAAATTAAAAACACAAAATTATTTAATATGAACAGAGGTGAAAGTTTCAGAAAAGCAAATAAAGATAAGTATTGTTACTTACAGTTTAATGTGGTTACGAAAATTGAAAATCTCCAGATCATTAGAAAGAGTATTTGGCCATGTCCTCCCCCCCTTGTTCTGTTTGCAATTTTTTTTTAAACGTTCCTGTTGCATGTTTTTTCTAATGGTCCGTCCCTTTACTTAAACCTAATCGCCTTCCCAGACGAATTAATTCAATTATAATAGCTACAATTTACCATCCCCCTGGAAACGACGATTACTTGCTGAGGAATCATACACAGCTATTTACTCGCTGGGGCACTCTGTGCCCCAGACGAGTATAGGTTTCGGCTTGCATTTTTCTTGGATCGTCGATAGCCACAAAATAGAATATTAATGAGCTGCTTGATCCTTTTCAAAATGGCGGGGCCTTTCGTGGAGTGGGCAAAATGTTTCAAACAATTCCGGGCCCCATTTTGTGAAAATTTTGGCTGAATTGCACATGTTTTCTATGGATTTGGAACTCTGGACATTCATGCTAGTTTATTTAATGCGTTTTTCTTGATGCACGACTCTGAAGATCCGAAATTTGGATCGTTGAATTCCCGTGCACGATCATATAAATATACTGAATCTGAATATTAAAACGAGCCAAAGACAATTTCAAGGTAAAAGGTTATTTAAACTACGTTGTGCAGTTTAAGTTATAACTACTTTATGAGAAGCATATTGGTGTCATATCAATATGAAATTTATCGAACAACAGTCCGTGAAAACTATCTGTAGTGTACTCAGTGTGAAATAATTAGTATATTGTATTTGTAGTGCCTCTTAATGGCGCAATAAGGATAAAAATACCACCGTTCGATTCAGCGTAAGAAGGTGTACTTACGGATGTCAAATGTATTACTAAACATCAGTATTTTAGCGATTTATGGCCTTTGAAAATCAAGCGAAATTGTATTGTTTACATCAAATCAATCGCAGTACGTTTGTCCTTGACTTGTATTTGTATTGCCTAATTAATGGCGCAATAAGAATAAAAGTACCACCGTTCGATTCAGCGTAAGAAATTGTACTTACGGATGAGAAATTGTACCTACGGATGTCAAATGTATTACTAAACAACTGGCAACAGTATTCTAGCGATTTATGGCCTTTGACTTTGTCTTTGAAAGCCAAGCGAAATTGTATTATTTGTTGACAATCACTCAAATTATAAAAGATGCAGTACGTTTGATCCTTGATAACTTTGGTATCATTGTTTTTCTCTTTTTCGGCCGTACACCAGTGGATTCGTCTCACTTCTTTCTTCATTTTGATAATATTTTGAGCCCAAAGGCCCCAAAATATTTTATTTTGAACGTTTTAAGCTGGCGGCCGATGTAAATGTAGTGTACTATAAAATATAATTTTATTTGTGGCATAAACGCCGGGAGTTTCCCCTTAGCTCGGGGCCAGGCTTGATTTCCACACCAGGCTTAATATACGCACGTAAAACTTTAAATCTGTAAAACAACCAAATAAATAAAGCAACAGAATTTACTGCTCCGCAAGTTTTAGTATGAATTTGTTAACTTATTAGTAAAGTATTTAAAAATTAAAGGATTCAAAGTTTACGTGCGTGTCACTGATCTAATAGTAGATCAGTGGTGCGTGTACGTGCGTACGAATAACGCAGCAGTGCAAATCTGCTTTTAGATCTTTTAAAACAGTAATGTGCGTCAGTTGTATACCCCAGCGAGTTAACGCTCCATAGAGCGTCTTGTTCAATTAAGGTTGTCCCCAAGCAAAGCGGAAAGGTAGTTAATTTATCCCGTGCGTTCTGTGACCTCCGTCCGCGATCATATTAGATCATGTCAGCGGCATCTAGTAAATTACTTAAATAACATCGCCCGAAGTCCGAAGGCTTTACCGAGGGTTTTACTCAAAATTCCAAAGGAATTTTACAACTTTAGAAAGTGGAATAATTTCCAGATACATGGACCATCATTCCCATACCATCAAAGAACAACAAATATGACTGGTTTATACTGAAGTATTTACCATTAAAGAACAAATATGACTGGTTCACACTAGTTTATTTTGTTTAAAAATACATTCCCATGTACATGCAAATTAATACATCCTCTGAGAAAATTCACAAACTAACCTCTCTGAAATTTGAGGTCCTTAACGTGTCTAGAAAAACAATAAATGCCATACCATCACAACATTTTATACTATTAAATGTGAGCGGATCGTTTTATTTATATATGTGACCACTATATATTTAGATTTTCTGCATTTGTATATCCCGAGTGCCGATGGCGTGTTTGTCTAGGGAGTTGCGTGCGATCTAACATGTTGCTATAGCTAATTGGTGGTTCGATTCCGGCAACGGCAAATGTTTTCTTTTTCGTTCTCATATTTTTTTCTTTACAATTTTTCCTAAGATTGCCTTTATAGATTAGAGTTAGGGTCACGTTTGTTTTTTAAGTGTATTATATTCAATTAAAATAATATATTTAATTAATAATTCGCGCGCAAATTCGAATTGTATTAATTAATGCTAAATGCTGAGCCGCTGACATGATCAGATTGATCGCGGACGGGGGTCACAGAACGCCCGGGATAAATTGACTACCAAGTGGAAAAGTCAATTAACCCAACAAGCATTTCGCGCTTGTATTCGACTTCCGCTTTGTCCGGGGTCAACCCTAATTGAAATATCTGTATACCAAAACCTTGACAAAGCCGTAAACACCTATCCAAACTCTGGACTGATTATTTTGCTCGGGGATTTTAATCAATTCAATCCTGGTAGCCTATGCACGTCATTTAAGTTGAAGAAACGTGTTCATTCCCCAACACGCGGGTCCAACACGCTCGATCAAATATATCATAATTTATTCGTTAATGCAATCAAACTATTATTGATCACTCAACGATACACGAGGTGTGTTGTGATAATTAACAATTATTCGCAGAAGGCGAGCTGATTATCGGTTAATAAAAACCAAGACAAAGTCGAAGTTTTTTTCACGATAATCACCAAGCCTGAGGTGTATTGTTTTGTATACTGATTGTGAAATTGTTTTAGTATACTGATTTCATAGGTGATTATTTGGAAAACAAAATACACAAATCTTCATCATTTAATTGACAAAACAGTTCGAAAATCGCCATTTCGAAAATCGCTTAGGTGATTATCGCGTCGGAAGCGGGGGTGGGGGCGCCCCCTCACTTTTTTAGTTGGGAACCTAAATGTCTTTGCCCCCCCCCACTTTTTAACAATAGTCAATAATAAACCACAAAGTTAAAGATATTATTTCAGTTATGCGTGTAGAAAT